TTCCATCCCTAACAACTCTGTGATTCTGTGAAATGTCATTATCTTTTTTTTTTTTTCCAGTGTCTTCTATTGCATGAGAGATGAAACAGTAGATTCCTGTTTACCTTCTCTAACTTTTGGTGCTATTCCCTCTAGACTCTGTCATGCTGGGCTCTTTTCTGTCTTGTCCTGATGAATAACTATCTCAGCCCAATGTTTTTGTTGTTCCTGTCCTTATCAGTTCTGTGATAGTTTGCTCTGAATCAGGCAGAGCATTCCCTGCTAGACAGCCTAAAGGAGTAGCCAGCAGCCAGGCACACCGTCTGTTGTTTCTTTTTCCTCAACTGCCTTGTTTTTGTCAGATAAAATTGTAAGCAAAAAGCAAATTACAGTGTTTTCTGATATTAACTGTAATATTATGTCTTCTGCCTTGTAGGCAGTTTAGCCCAAGCTGGCTGGCTGCCCGTCCTGAGGCACAAGGACACTGCTTTCCTGGGAGGCTGTGTCAGATAAAGCCCTTAGCTTTTCTGGAGTGAAAGCTATTTTTTCCCCATCGTTAGTGAAACAAGACCTTATCAGCATAGAAAACACAGCCTGCACGGCAACACAAAGATACCTGTTTTGCCTCACATTCAGCTCCTGCACCAAAACATATTTCTAGTACAGCTATTAAAATAATAGCTTTTAAGGTAGAAAGTCTGCTGGCTGACACTGTGATTATTAGCTACTCAGGACACTTCTCCAGCTATCTGAGCTGAGGTTTTTCATAAAGCTATGTATAAAGAAAGCTATGTCTGTACTAGGAAATTAACTGTGTCTGTGCTCCCTGACACTCAGGTTAACAAGCATGGCATGATCCATGCTCATATTATTCCATTTTCTTATTCTCCAAAATAGGGTGACCATCTCCAGACTGCCTTTTGAGAATGGCTTCTGGCCTCCAAATACGTCTGAGCTGTGTCCTGGCGTTGAGAAATGGTCGTTGTCCCATGCCAGAAGCATTCCTGGGGCTAGTAAAGTGGTTTAAGTGTAAAGGGGTGTTTTGAGGGTGCAGGAATATTCCCTGAGACTGTTTGAACTTGAGATCAAGTCTTAATATGTTGACTGCTCTAAACCTGAAGTCTTAAACCCTGGCCCTCAGAGCAGCCACAGACATGGTTTCATGGACATGTTTCATATTACCACGTGTCTCTGAGCTATGAAAAAAAGTACCTTTGCCTCAGTGGCTTTATGGGGTCAATTCTATTTTATAAATAAATCATTCTTAACTACTGAAATATAGAAATTCCAGTTGTCTTGAAGAACTGGCATGTCGAATCCTCTTCAACAGCATTCAGTATCTGATGCATCTTGTTATATAGAATCACAGAATTGTTGATGTTGGTAAAAACTTTAAGAGCATCAAATCCAATTGTCCACCTATCAGCATGATAATTTTCAACATTAAACCATGTCCTCAAGTGCCATAGCCACAAAATTTTTGAAGACCTCCAGGGATGGTAGCTGCATCACCTCCCTGAGCAGCCAGTTCCACAACCCTTTCTGTGAGGAGTTTTTTCCTAATATCTAAACTTCTCCTGGCACAGCTTAAGTCTGTTTCCACATGATGCTTATTAATAATGGTAGTTACTGCACACTGCAGACATCAGGGCTGCTTAACTCAGGGCTGTCTCAACTGCAGATGTTGATGATACTTTTTTTTTTCCATTTTCCTTTCCTGTAAGTACATATTTTGTCTTCTTTAATTTCATTAAAGGCCAGGTTGAATGGAGCCCTGAGCAATGTGACCTAGTGTAAGGTGTCTCTGTCCATGGCAGAGGGTTGGAAATAGATGACCTTTAAGGTCCCTCCCAACCCAAACTATTCTGTGATTCCATGAGTGGGAGGATTGATGTCAAACTATGCTTTGAGATCCTCTGATCAAACATTGTGTGGCTGCAGTGGATGTTCTTGTGTGCCCCACTGTGGTCTCCATATTTGTTACATGTTCCTGATGGCCTGAGACCTGCTCCAAAGCTCGTTGGCTTTTGGTCCAGGCATTGGGTATCTCTTGTGTGGACTGGTAATGTTTTCACACAGTCCTGTGGTCTGGATGCCTACTGTGAAGTCACAGCACTTGCTGTTTGACATCAAAGCCTGTCCCTGTGAGAATGAGCATAATAAGCAAATAATGACCTCACTGTGTGTGTACACAGGGAAAAGAGAAGGCAAGTTATGAAGCAGAACCACTTTCGTTTATGCAGTAGTGTTTTAATAACCAGCAGATTTGGGGGAAAGGGCTGGAAAAATAGTAAAAAGATAAAGGTACTTATGTTTCAAAGTTGAGATTTTTTTAACGAGAACAAAAGTTTATTTTGACATATTAAGATAAAAAAATACCCTTGATTTTTAGGCAGGATCCTGAGAGAGCTATCAGCATTCCCAGTCGATGCTTGTCATGATATTTTCTTTTTCCTTTTCACCCCAATCCTTTCATGGTACTACTAATGTGAACGTCCTTAGCTGCACACTTGGAATAGCCCAGTGTGATAGCTTTACCACAAAGGGCTCCTGTGTATTCCAGGAGTCAGGATATAGCACTCTTCTAACAGAAAATGCCCTGTAATGAAGGTGAAGCTCAGACATTATTTATTCCAAATACAGAATCTTTCCATCTACGAGTTTATAGAGGCTGAGAAATTGTTGAATTTGGAGATTTGCAAATAGAAATTACAAGCTCGACTCTGAAAATATTCCCTCCTGGAAAACAAGTCCTATTCCCTCTTGTGAGCATTATCCTCATGCAGCATTAGATTGGTACAGAAGGAATTTTGAAGGTGGACAGTTTTGCTCATAAAGACTCAGCTCCTGGAATGAAGCAGCTGATCCTGAGCTCGGGTACGTGGAGAGAACAGAACATCACTTGTGTAGAATTATGTGGAATATTTTTTGTGTGTTTCTTCACCAGGTCCGCTTTTTAGGCTGCAGCAGGTTAAAGTTAGAGCTGTGCAAATTTTGAGAAGCCTACATCCAAATTAATGCTGGCTCTCTTCCAGAAATGGCTGGAGCTGGCAAATTTAAATCATTTTCAAGTTGGAGCTGGGTTTTTTCTGGGTTTTATGTCATCACTTATGAGTTAAAACTGAGGAAAAACCTGGCTTGTGACCGATTTAACCTCTTTTTGCCTCCTGCCTTGGTCTAGAGTATTTTTTCTGTATGTGTGACTTGTTTGCTGAGAACTAACCACTGATGGGATTATACAGTGTGTCGAGTCTCTGGAATTGCCCTTCTAATAAAGCAGGGGATTTTTAAAAGCTTTTATTTTAAACCTCTACAGAGCATCAGTTGCTGACATATCTAGAGGAAAGTGGTTCTTAAAAGATTTTCTTAAAAATAAATTATTTTTCTACTCTGTATTTTTATGCACTTCATATATTGAATGACAATTTTAAAATCAAGTAGCATTAGCAACACCTTGGGACGTGGCACTTCTGCTTCAGTAATGAATTAAAAGTTTCTTAGCATATAGTTTTTCTGAATTACTCATGTGGCAGGAGGATAATTTATATACATGAGTTTACAGGTGAGATCACTCTTAAGCCCTAAATTAGTGCATAACTTTGTCTCTGCCCATGACAGAGTGGCTGGAATGAGATGATCTTTAAGGTCCCTTCCAACCCAAACCATTCTGTGATTTATGGATGTGGATGGTTATGAATGTGGATGGTTATTCTGAAGTGATCTGAGAAGCTCTGGAGAAGGTGCCGTGATCATATCATGGGAATCTGAGGAAACAGTTTACTTCAGTAAAATACAGGTGCCTGGTTAGGACTTGACCTTTTGAAGAGCTATCCAAACATTTACTCACTCTCACAACACCCTCATGAAGTAGAGGATAAATATTATCTCAATTTTATGAACAAGAAGGTGAGCACCAAGAGAGTCTGGATTAAAATTTAGGAATCTGTGGTGTGCAATTGCTTGCTTAATCCATTAGACCATGGTGTTTGGTTTGTCAATAGCTTTAAAAACTGGACAAAACCTTTAAAATACCAACTAGTTTAGATAAGCAGGAGTTCAGTTCTCCTTACATAAAAAAGAGATGTCACATCATCATAGCCAGATTCGGGGATTTTTTTCCCATATTTTTCCATGTTTGTCTTAAAGTGCTCTTGAAGGTGATTGTGTACTCAGAAAACTTTCTGGAGGAAGGGCAGCTCAGAAAAAAAAAAAAAAAAAAAAAAAGATGATATTTCCCTGTTGCATTAAGTTGATCATCTCTTTAACCTGAATTTACCAAAGCACTTTGTTAGGGAAGCAATGCTGTACCTGTAATTATCTTGGTGAATGGTGCTACGGTGTTTGCATACAATGAATTCACATTTGGTTTATGCAGTGTATAATTTATAAAGCATTTTTGTCATCTATGCCAAATCCTTGGGATGTTTCCTGTCACCCACCCATTGAAACGAGGCTGAAAAGCACTGTAGAAATAACAAAGGCTGCCATCATCATCTCTTTCAAACTGCCATGGAACTGAAATGATACAGGACAAGAGGGCAAATGTTGAGAACTGGAAAAACAGAAAAACAGAGCAGCATGAAATGTCAAACCACATTTTTAAGGCGCTTTTTACTATATTTCCATAAATGCATGAGGGAATTATGTTGCGAATACTTGAAACTGTTTATTTTCATTTTTGGCTTGATTTTCTAGCATTGAAAAAACCATGTCTAATGATCTTGAGTATTCTTAAAGAAAAAAATTATATTTTACATAATGGTTTGCATGTGTGAGTTCCCTCTGGCAGGAGGGCTATAATTAGCCTGTCGTCTCTCAGAGAAGAGACTATCTGTCTTAAAGATGCAACAGTGAGTCTTGGCTGCTAGAGCTAGGAGCAGAACATTGTGATTTTGTTAAAAGATAAACATTATCCCTTTTCACTTATTCATCTTTCTCCTCTTCCTGCTTCTTTGGCTCAAAGTTAGCCTGGAGAGGCAAAGGACAACTGAGCACAAAATGTTTCTTCCTTCCTCATTCAGCAAGGCATGGCGAAAGATCTTGGCTTCTTGACATCAATAACTTTGCTTCAACTCCACTTGGAACTGTTTGGGCAGCCTTTCAAAAATAAAAAGGTACGATAAAAGGGAACTGAACTTCCTGTTTTAGTCGTAAAGTAGCAGATTCAGCTAAGGCACACTTTCCTTTGGGATTGTCCATGTACTGCCTGGGAGAGTCATAGAATCATTTCCGTTGGAAAAAAACCCAAAAATAATCGAGTCCAACCAGGAGCCCAGCACTGTCAATCCATCACTAAACCATGTTACTCACTGCCACATCCACACATCATTTAAATACTTCCAGGGATGATGACCACCACAGCCCTGGGCAGCCTGCTCCAGTACTTCATGCTTTTTATAAAGAAATTTTTCCTAATGTCGAAGCTAAATGTCCCCTGGTGCATCTCGAGGCCATTTTCTCTTGTCCTGTCACTTATTACCTGGGAGAAGAGCCCAACCCTCACCTGGCTCCACTCTCCTGTTAGGGAGTTGTAGAGAGTGAGAAGGTCCCCCCCGAGCCTCCTTTTCTCCAGGCTGAGCCTCTTTCCCAGCTCCCTCAGCTGCTCCTCATCAGACTTGTGCTCCAGACCCTTCACCAGTGAGTTGAGGATGTGGAATATTATTCCTTTTCACAACGTTATTGTAGCTATTAAAAGACAATCAGCCAGAGTAGGGTGGTGGCAGACAGTGTTGTGTGTTTCAGCCTTTTGTGGTCTCGTTACTACAGGAGAGTAATTTTGGTAGAAAGGCTTTGCTGCTTTTGGGTATCCATGTGTGTCCTTGATCAGAGGAGGTGGAGAGAAGGAAAACTCAAAACCACCACAGAGTCAGAAAAATGTAACTGGTTTGAGCTGGCATGGATGTGCTGGTGTGTGTTAACTCTTGGTATTATCGTGCCTGAGGTTTCATTTCCAGCATTAACAAAGAAAGCTGTAATGCAGGAGATGATCACACGTGGCATCCTTCCAGGCCAACTGGTTGCATTAGCAGAGACTGGGTAAGAAGGTGCAGTTTCCAGTGGAACAGGATTATATTGAATGTCATTTTGAAGACTGCCATTACGTGTGCCAGTCCATCAGACAATGTGTTGATCTGATGGTGAAAACGTTACTGCAGTGGCAGGGGCATTTCTCCGTGGGTAATGATGTGTGGACCAGGATCTCTGAATTTCCTTCTTGCCAAATTCTTTGACTTGTGCCACATCCATTTATTCTTGATCTTTCTTTGTAATCCTTGTGCTGCTGCTGTCCTTCTGCCCCTCTTCTATGTTGCGTAATTAGTCTGAACAGTATAATTTTCTTTTATTCCTTGCAACCTTTCTTTTCCACCCCTCTGCTTTCCTGATGCTTTTCCTTGCCAAATAGTCAGAGATTTCTCTCAATTCTGAGTTCCTATGTAAGCTATAATTTTATTCTATTATGAGTGAGCACTGCTACTGCGGGCCTGGAACTGATTACTGTTTGCATATATCCAGCATCACCAGCCAAAGAGTCAAAGACCAAAGAGACTTCTCGGAACCTTACAAGGATTTCAAAATCACCTTGTTATTCTTTTCAGATTCCCCATTTTGTTGGGAATTTCTTTTTTATTTCAGTTGTATCAGTATTCAAAGGCCAAGTTTATATTTTGAAAAGTAGTTGTAGATGTTAATTACCTTCACAGGCAGTCCAAAACCTAAAATCTCATTTTAAATTAGCACCTATTTCCTGTCCTGGATATCCAAAAAAGTGCTTGATTAGATCAGCATGAACTCTATTTGCACTTTTCAGAAGTGTATTTCAGACTTGGGTATTGACAGACCTTTGCTGGGAGGCTGAGAACAAAGCTTTTGTGTATTTTGTCTTGGTGCTTGGCCCTGGCTGGAACAAGTACTTTCATTGTTTTTGGAATATTTCAATGCTTTTTTTCTTCATCCCAGAAAGGAGAAATCCCAAAAATAAATGAGAAAGAGATCAATCATTTGGAAAGTTACAAATATTCGAAGAAAATAGAAGATTTTTCTTTTTTAATTGAAAAACTAATGAGAGGTTATGCTCTTCTGAAAATGCAAGCTGAAATTTCTATTAATTCCCTTTATAGAAGTTATATGCTACTACTGTGTTCTGAAAAGATGGGATAATTAGGAATTGAGATATAAAAGGGATCATACTGGTCAGTCTGATACCTCCTCTACCTTTCAACTCTTGCAAAGGAATACTTACAGGAGTTGTGGTTTGAAAAATGGAGAAAACTGTGGTGAACTAAGACTTACTTCTGCTGTTCCAATCACTTCCCTCAAGAGCTCCATAATAAAACTTGGTTTGCCATGGTCACTCATGCACTGGCTTTTATAATCTCTCCAGGATGTTTCGCAAACAAAAATAAAAAAAATATTTTGAAGGCCATTGATCTGTCCATCTGCTTGCTGCTCTTAGCTCATTTCTTGGTAGTTTCTACCCCACGCAGGAATACTTATTGCTGAGAATGGCACTGCTGGTCTGGCAGCCACAAAAAACAACTTCTTTAAGTGGTCTTGTATGGAATTGCATGTCTCATTTTAAACCTCTTCTAGCATAATGTGCTTAATTGGCCTGTGTCTCTGGGCTGGATAAATGGATGCAAGTTCTGAAGTTTTGTTACTTTGTTCTTCCCTTGGACAGTATATTGGAGGTCATTGACCAGTAACAAAGAGTTAGAACAACTAGCCAAATTATCTCTAAAATGTTGCAGAACAGCCATTTCTGAATCATGAATTCTGTGATTTATTAGGTCAGATTTGTTGTCCTCTTTCCGTGTCAGTGTCTCCCATTATCTTTTCCTGGTGGTTCTCCTAGAACCCCTTAGTTTTTGACTTGATCTTTTTAGGATGTGCCAGGTGAATTTGTCTACAATATTTGTTATTTTCTAAAAGTAAGGATACCACTGTAGAAATAAAAAGGAACTCTCGTGACTGTAGTAGCTTTTGATCACTGCTGTTGTTCTTCAGATTATGGATTAATACCCAGCTATTGTTCAACTAAATAAATTCCACCTATTACTGTTCTTCGGAAATTATTTGCTAAATCTTGATTTTCTATTCTCTACTGCTGCTGGCATGAGATTCTTTTAAAAAGTTGAGGGGAATTAGACTGTGACTGCTTTAGGGATTTTAGGAATCAGGCTGTGACTGAGTGATGTGATCTAGGGGAAGGTATCCTTGACTATGGCAGAGGGATTGGAACTTTAAGGTCTTGTCCAACACAAGCCCATCCATGATTCCATGATTCTGTGTTTTTGCCAGCAGTACAAATAGGAACAGATGTGTAGGAGACAAATGGTGCTCACCCTCCATGCACACAGTGAGCATTTCAGTGGGGTTTACTTTCAGTCTAGCACTAGGTCAAATCTGGCCTCACTGACTGAATGCCTGTTGGGGTGCATCTTCTGATTTGCTTTTACCCAAAAAAAGACCAGGTAGTGTGCTCTGAAATCATGCTACAGTACAAAGTGATGTGCAGTAAGTGAGAAAGAATGAAAGTTCAAAAGCACACCTCTGATCCAAAATAAATATTCCCATAGATGGATCCTTTTTTACCTGATTCAGACATTTCAGTAAATCCAATAATGGGCTCATCTTGATCAGCTGGTACTTAAATATTTCTGTGCATGTGGCCAAAATGCTTCTTAGCATCTCACTTCGACATGCTCTTTTCACATTAATGTCACCATTATTGTGGAGACAGTTGTAATTGCTGTTCTTGTAACTTGTATTTATATAGAAAAGTAATACCAGAGAAATTCAACTTAGAAATAAGGCACAAGGCAATTAACAGTGGAACAAAGTACCAAGTTCTGCATTGTCTCGTTCTTGATGACTCCAAGTGGAGGTCAAATGAATTTCTGGAAAATATGCTTTTGTTAAACTGGTTACTGGCCCAAAATAAGGGCAACTGGCTGAAATTCTGTGGTCTGTGGTATGTGGGAGGTCAGACTAGATGATCTAATTTTCTTTTCTGACTTTAAACTGTATGAACTGAGTGTGAGCAATTCCCCTGATTAGAGGACACTTCTGGCCTTTGAAATCTGCAGGATCTGTCAGTTACCAGTAAAGAACATTTGCTATTCTGCCATCAAATCAAGGAATTAATTTTAGGATATCACATTGTTGTATCCTGCTTTATGATGTGTAGAAGCAAGAAGAAAAAATCCCCCTCACCTGTAGCACGATTTAGTTTAGGCCAATGGTGTATTGTAAACTTAGCCTTTGGTATTGCTTATCACAACTGAGATTCTAAATCAGAGCTGAAATAGGACTTGGTTTTAGAGTTTCAGTGCCAGGAAGGTTAACGGGATATTGACAGCTTTAGGAATGAAATGTCAGGGAGGAAATTAGAGCAAACATGCATCATGAGCCAGCACACAGCATGGCTGGTTTCAATAGAGGCGGCAGATCCTCTGTAGTAACGCCCCCACTAACAGTGGCATTATCACTGCTTCCAGATGGCATCAACACAAACACACTGAGCTTGTGCAGGCACCTATAATTTATCTTGATCCCTTCCTCCTCTGGATTCAGAAGGAAGAAGGCAAGTGGTACCACAGCTAAGCCCAACTGTTTTCTTTTTCTCTTTTTTTTTTTTTTTTTGCCAGGAAGTGTGGGGGTGGGGCAGGATCACATCTGGGGGTCCCTGGAGCCCACCAACAGTGACTGCTGTGAGTCTCGATGGGATGGGGGCATCCACAGCTCTTCTTACCCACTTCCTTCTGATTTCACTATGTCATTTGTATTGGGCTGGTCCATGCCCCAAATCAGAAGGGAGATTGCAGCTCCTTTTCCCTCCTTTTAGATTCTCAATCTGCCTCTTCATTTTTTTTTTCTTTTTATTGTTAAATCAACAAGCAACCTGGTCTAGTGGAAGGTGTCCCTGCCCATGGCAAGGGGTTGGAATGAGATCATCTTTAAGGTCCTTCCCAACCCAAACCATTCATTGTTTCTTTGATTTTATTGCCTAAGTGCATGTGCATTCTCAATGAGTTTTACTCAACCACTGAAAAATCATCATTTTATCACAGATAAAAACTTAGAAAAGAAATGGGAGATGTTTCTAACTGTATTC